CCCCCCCCCCCCCCCCCACTAGTAACAGTGTATTAAAAAATGTTAAAAATGGAATTCTAAATTCTATTTTGTTTTTATTGCATGACAAAGATAAATGATGTAGAGTTTAGCATATGAACGTCTACATTGTTCATTGTTAGAGGAACATTGGATTGACTAAATAACTTAACGTTTATAAGAAATTTTAAAAAAGCAACACAAAAATTAAATCACTCCCCTGTTCTTACACTTACATGACAATTACTCTCTCACTCCCACCCACTGCAATGATTTCACATCATCCATCCATCTAAACCTAGGTTTGCCTTTGAGCCGCTTTCATCTGGGATTTCACATCATCCATCCATCTAAACCTAGGTCTGCCGTTGAGGCGCTTTCCTCTCGGATTTCACATCATCCATCCATCTAAACCTAGGTCTGCCTTTGAGCCGCTTTCCTCTGGGATTTCACATCGTCCATCCATCTAAACCTAGGTCTGCCTTTGAGCCGCTTTCATCTGGGATTTCACATCATCCATCCATCTAAACCTAGGTCTGCCGTTGAGGCGCTTTCCTCTCGGATTTCACATCATCCATCCATCTAAACCTAGGTCTGCCGTTGAGGCGCTTTCCTCTGGGATTTCACATCATCCATCCATCTAAACCTAGGTCTGCCTTTGAGCCGCTTTCCTCTGGGATTTTGGTGGTGCACCCCCTTCAGCCCACTGTCATTTGGCATTCGTTCTAAGTGTCCCGCCTAGCGCAGCCTACCGTTTAAAAAAAAAAATTACACTACTATCGTTGTATTCTGATATAGACTGTACGAATTCCTGATTGGTTCGTATGCTCCATCCATATTCATCCTTTGTTGTTCTGTATAATTTCCTCAGAACTTTGCTCTCCCAAGCGTAGATTTTCTGCCGTTATTTTTATAGGGTCAAAGTTTAACATGCGTATGTTGCAACTGGTCCGATTACAGTTTTATAAATAGTTTTCTTGGTTATATTTTTACTTTTGAGGATTTTCCGACTCCTGCAGTCTGCCCTATTTCAGTTGATATTCTTTCTTTTATTTATGTTAGTAATTCTTTTATGTCATTTAATAGTTTAAATAAATGAACTATAATTTCAGTTTATATCTGCTATATTGGTTCTGACCAATCCACATGCTAAGCTTAGAGCTCTGCATATATCAATATTTTGTATCAGTGGCAATATATAACAAAACCAAGTAGGGCTAAACATTACACACATGTACAGGGTAATTCAGTGGCAATATATCAAAAATCGAAGTACACTTAACCCACATGTACAGGGTAATTCAGTGGCATTATATCAAAAATCAAAGTACACTTAACCCACATGTACAGGGTTATACAGTGGCAAATATAACAATACCAAGTACACATACATATGTACAAGTTTATTCAGTGGCAATATATAACAAAACCAATTATTCGTAAAACTCATGTACAGCGATCACATCATAGCCCACACTCTTTATAAATTGGTCAACTTCCATACGGTACATATTGAGAAATAAAAACTGAGGGTTAAAAGACCCTAAAGGTGCCATAAAATGTATAGTGAGGTTATCACATCAACAGCTTATGTGCCATAAAATGTATAGTGAGGTTATCACATCAACAGCTTATGTGCCCAAAAAATCATATTGAGGTTATCACATCAACTCATCAATAGCTTATATGCCATAAAATGTATAGTGAGGTTATCACATCAACTCATCAATAGCTTATATGCCATAAAATGTATAGTGAGGTTATCACATCAACAGCTTATGTGCCAAAAAAATCATATTGAGGTTATCACATCAACTCATCAATAGCTTATATGCCATAAAATGTATAGTGAGGTTATTAATCACATTAACAGCTTATGTGTCATAAAACGCATAGTGATGTTATCACACCAACAGCTAATGTGTCATTAAATGTATAGTGAGGCTACACATCGACAGCTTATGTGCCCTAAAATGTATAGTGAGTTTATCAATATTAATCAAATTAACAGCTTATGAGTCATAAAACGCATAGTGATGTTATCACACCAACAGCTTATGTGTCATAAAATGGATCGTGAGGGTATCAGTCATCGACAGCTTATGTGCCATAAAATGTATAGTGAGGTTATCGCATCAACATCTCATTTCTCAGGATCGCCTAGTTCAGAAGAGCTCCTCATAAGTTGGTTCTGTGGGCAAATATAAGTAACATGAGTCGCAAGCTTGTGTTGGAAAGACGTTCTTTATTGACCTATACGTCTTGAACAGATCTATCAGTGACCAACGGTCAAAATGATGGACAGATAGGAAGGAATGATATGGACGTTTTTCGTCTCTTGAATTAGAATCACCCTATCTCAAAGAACAAGAGAGAGAGAGAGA